GCGCTCGCGGTTAATGGAGAGGTGCGAGCCAGGCCCGCGCCCGCGTCTGTTTGCGGGCCGGGGCGCAACCTGGGCTTTGTGGGGGCACCCCTGGAGGGCTGGGGACCCGCAGGTCGGCGTCAGCGGAGGCTTGGCGAGAGAAGCGAGCTGTCCAGAATGGCCCCGGGTGTTTGGTTGGAAGACAGCGTCTGCCCCTTCATTAAAAGGCAATGCCAAGAAGCAGATTCTTACTCTCCCGATTTTCCATCACAGCGCTCTGCTCAAGAAAAAGTCATTTATTCTTTAAAACTTACCCCCACTGTTCAGAATATAACGAGGGAAAAGATGTATCTTTGAATAGTAGTACTTCTTTAAACAATAACGATGGTCCCAGAGAGCTCCCAGCTTTCAGAGCTGTGATATCAAGTGGTGTGCGAATTACAGCTGTTTTCAAGTGCTTGCCATGTTACTTACACACGTTGTGTTGAGTCTTCAAATTCCTAGTAACACTGGTTTAATACCTTGCAGTAGGTCTTTAAGGTACCGTTTCCATTGTGTAGATAAGGAAATAGAGGCGCAGGAAATCTTACTAACTTGTCCAAGGGCAAACAGCTAGCAGAGGATGAATTTGGGCCTCACCTCCCATTCTCCAGTATCCTTGCTTTTGTTACCACCCAAACATGCTCTGCAGGATTTCTTTCTTTGTTAATAATCAAAGTGCCCTACATTGACTTCTCTCAGGCTTATATGGTTATATTAGAGAGGCCTATACCAGCTCCTTTTTTATTAGAAGTTTAATAAATGAGAAAAATATTCACTCATTAAGGATGATAGTGATGATAAAGTTAAACTTGTAGGCCCCTGACCACTCCAACACATTTTTTTTTATTTGACATAGAGATGAGTTTATGTGGTTGTTACTGAGAAACAGTATTTTTCTTTAATATTTGTGTTTATTATTTGCAAAGAGCTTTCTTTGCCTTTGCATCTTCATGATGGTTGTCGTTTGGAGGGAATATGATTTTTGCTGACAGTAAGTTAGTATTTTACAGGAAAGGCATTAGAGAGAGAAGTGGAAGCGAGAAATGAAGGGATTTTTTGACATGTTGCTTCCAGCTAATTGAATTACTTACTATGGATGATAAAGACTTCACAGTTCCTATCAGTGTCCAAAAGAAATCATATTTCCTATGTGGGAGGCTGAATATTATAGTGTTTCAAGTTTCTTACCCTTTTCAGGACTTTAAAAGTTTACATATTCAGCATCCATGTAGCAAATGTATATTGAATACTTTCCAGGGTCAGGCACTGTTCTAAGTCAGAATGCAAGAATGAACAAAACACATTTCTTGTCCTCATGGAGCTCACATCCCACTGCAGGAAGATTGATGTGATCTAACTAACTAGCTAACTAACTAAATAAATAAATATATTTTAGATAAAAATAAAATATATACAGTAGAATGTTATAGTTGCTAAGAAAAAGCCGCAGCAATAAAGAACAGGTGCAGTTTTAAATTAAGGAACTCCCGAAGGAGTGTGAGACAGACACGCAGCCATTTAGGGGAATAAATAGTCTAGTGACAGGTGCAACTGCCAGTAGTAGCAGAGGGCCAGCAAGGAGACAGGGGCTTGAGTAGTGAGTGAGAGCAAACTGGTCCTGCTAAAGTGTAGGCTTTTCTGAGTAAGGAGGGCTTTGAGCAGTGGAATGAGGATCACTCTGGCCTCTGTGTTCAGAAAAAGTTGAGGGATAAGAATGAAAGCTGGGAGACCAGGTTGGTTCAGCAAGAGAGAGATGGTGGGGATTTTGACCAAGTAAGAGTAGTAAGAGGATGGTCATTTTCTATGTATATTTGACAGGATTTGTTGATGGATTCTGAGTAAAAGATTGAAGCATGAGCCCAGGGACTTTGACCTGAACCTTTAAACGAATAGAGTTGCTGTTCACTGAAATGGGAAGACAAGGGGAGAGAGAAAAATGAGGGGAGGCGAGTGGAGTAGGGTTTTCCATGTAAGACATAACAGTTGAGGTGCATGATCAAGGGGGAGGTTCTGAGACCTGACTCAAAATAGAAATTTGGGAGTCTTTAGCAAATTATATTTAAAGCCACAAGAAATGATTGAAAGCTGATCTAGAGAAATGAGGATTGGCTCTAGGGCTTTCCATGTTTAAAGATTAGAGATATTAAAGAAACGGCAAGGAGGCTGAGAAGGCTTTGGAGGTAGAAATCTGTAATATTGGAATTCAAGTGAAGAGAGTGTTTCATGAAAGAGAAGGTGGTCAACTGTGTTTCCCGCTGGTTTGACAAGTAGCATGGGGACTGTGAAATGACCGTGACCGTTGGATTTAGCATCATGAAGGTAATTGGTGCTCATGATAGTGGGGGGAGAAAACATGACCGAACAGTTTAAAGGAACAGGAGGAGAGGAATTGAAGTCTGCAAATATAGTCACCTTTTTAGAGGAGGTTAACTAATTTTCAGATCTCAATTATTTGAAAGTACTTGCTATTTCCATGGCAAATACTTTTGCTTTAACTGGAGTGACGTAGCAACTAAACTTGGATTATTTCATCAGTGATGCGGAAATACAGTAACTAGCTTCTTCTGCCTACTGATAACATGGTATATTATTAACTTTCAAAGCTAGTAGATAAAGAAGCTTGTTCTTTGTACATTATATATTTGGACTCATATAAGTGCTTAGGTAGAATGCATTCCTTTACACTTATCTTTATTCTTAGATTAAAAAATTAAGTTTAGAAATACTAACTCAATCTGCATTTAAAAACAAAAAATAAATGCAAAGATTCATTTTGTAAAATACTGTCTCAGTAGTTTTAGCAACTATCATTTCTGGTGTACCTCATTTCTGTTATAAAAACTAACTCATAAGCAAAAATATTTCAAAGCACTTGTCTATTATAAAAGGATGTAATACTTCTTTGAAAGTAGATAATATGCCTTGCATAGGGCAGCATGACTTAAAAATGTAGTGAGGGCATGAAGAAAAGAGTGATTTTTTTTTAAATTAAAAACAGGGGCTATGTACAAGTTGTTGCCCGAATTCATATGAAAATAATTACAATACACAATATGCACCAAATTTACTCCACTTTCACTGTGGATATCAGCTCTGTCCATGGTCTTCTCTTACACTTTTCCATTCATAGCAAATACAGTCATATGTTGCATTGTAATATTTAATAGACAATTTCAAAGTTTTAGAAATAGGATTACTGATTTTTTAAAATCAGTTTCATCTGAAATATGACAGGTCCTCAATCTACATATTAAAATAATTTTTTTCAGTTGAGGAAAGTATTTTAACTTGGTGTTTTTGTTCTTGTTTGTTTCTCTGGGAATTTTTTATGGCTTGATTCGTCTCTAATTTTCATAATTACCTTGTACTTTTTTCCCTTTCCTTTGTAGAGCTTCTTAAATTAGGTCTTTCCATCACTGATTTGATTTTCTGCAATATTTGTCTATTCCATCTGCTTTCAATTTGGATTTTAAACCTGTTCTGGTTTTTTTTTTATTTATTTTTTTTAAAG